ATCTGTAGATCAGCTCTGTCAGACTACAGTGATGTACTTAGGACTAGTCTTGTCAGAGGGGATCAGGGCATTAGGCAAAGAAAAATTTAAACACATCTCCTTTGCCCTCCCCAAAATCTCAAGCAACTAAGGAGACTTTGGCATCACAAATTCTGCAGGCTATGGATATCTGTGTATGGTAAAATAGCTTGTCCCTTATGTCACCCAATGAAGGAAACTCAGACAGCTAAGACCCACTTCCTAACTAAACCAGAGGCTAAAATGTCCTTTGAACAATTTAATTAATCATGCTTGAAGCAGCAGCCCTTAGTCTTCTCATTAGGGAGATGTTCAACCTTTATATCTCAGAAAGGAAGGAAGGAAATGGTACTGGGAGTTCTAAGCCAGGCCCAAGGTCCACCCCAGGAGCCTATAGGCTACCTAAGCCAGGAGCTTGATTTGGTAGCTAAGGAATGGTCGGCCTGCCTCTGGGCAGTTGCACTGGGAGCTTTGCTGGGACTAAAGGCTACCAAGTTAATCACTGGGAATAATTTAACCATTTATATCCCACATAATGTGGCAGGACTGTTGTCTTCTAAGGGGAGTCTCTGGCTAATAAACAACTGTCTCCTCAAATATGAAGCTCTCCTATTAGAGAGATCTGCAGTAGAGTTAAGAACCTGTTCCTCCCTAAGCCCAGCCACCTTCCTCCCAGAGGAAGCTGGGGAGCTTGAACACGACTGCAAACAAGATAGTAATACAAAACAATACGGCCAGAGAGGACCTCAAAGAGACCCCCTTAGAGAACTCGGACTGGACACTCATTATGGATGGATGTTCCTTTGTAGGATCCATATAGTAGGGGATGCAATAGTCACCCTGAATGATGTTATTAAGAGTGTGTCTCTCTCCTCAGGCACCAGTGCACAGCTAGCTGAGCTAATTACCATCATGAGGGCACTTGAATTTAGTAAGGAGAAAGAAGTTAACATTTATAGTGATTCTAAGTATGCTTTCCTAGACCTCTATATCCATGTCACTATCTGGAAAAAGAGTGACTTCCTCCCAGTCAATGGATCTCCCATTAAATACCAAAATATTATTAGACTGTTATCCTTGGTCTTCTTTCTATGGAAAGAGACAGTAACACTAAATTAGTAACTGCTGATTTCTGATCCAACTGAGGCACCTCTGATCTGGGACTGCTCCATAAAAGAAAGAAAACCTCAATACTCTTCCAGGGAGATAACAAAAGGCTACCTCTTAGGGACACACACTTCAGGGCTCAGAATGGCTGCAATCAGAGGACAGCAAGCTTCATCTACCGGCTTCCAGCCATTTGACAGTTCTTAAAAACCTCCACTAAAACTTCTACCTAGGAAACAATAAAGCCTATCAAGTGGTCCAAAGTTTGGTCTCAGCAGTGGGCTGTCTGGAACAGCTGCTACAAAGATGCCAGCTGCAGCATGGGAAGTATGACTGGGGCTGCTCACTCCATGGAGCCAGCAGGATCTGGGAACAGGTTAGAGCACTACCCTTTTTCTGAGTTGGTGGCACAGGAGCCCCATGCTCCTGGGCACAGCCGTAACTGCCCAGTTGCAGCTGTGGCCCTGGATATCCCTGTGCTCTTGGGGACCAGGGAGCCCTTCTGCCTCTACAGGTCAGAAGTGCCTGCTCCTGCTGTCAGGCCTTTTCCCACTGCTAGTGCCCACTCCAATTTTGGAGCAAAGTTGTGGTCAAACTTGGGTACTGCCATAATTTGGCTGGGTGTGCATGTGCTTGGGGAGGCACTGACATGCCAGACTCCTGCTGCCTCAGCCCTCTCCATACTTTGAGGGCCAATGAGCACAAGACAGAGGTTAAGGGGGACTGAGGGTGGCTCACACGGAACTGCAGGCACCTTTCCACATGGACAGCCTGGATGCTGTGAACAGCAGCAGGAGGCAGACAGGCTCCTAGGAGGAAAGTGGCAGGTCTCTGCTGATACTCCACCTTCGAGTAACTGATAATCTGAAACCTGGGTTCTAGGATGCCAGTTTTGTGGATCAGGGTGAGAAATTATGGTGCCTTTTCAGGCTGTCCCATGGCTGCCCATGGACCAATCAACATGCATTTCCTCCACTCTGAAGCCAATAGAAACCCCAGTCTCAGACAGAATCAGGCAGATGATGGGACAACCTACCTGTGAAGAGGCGCCCACTGTGGGTCTCCTCTCTGCTGAGAGCTGTACAATCATTGGAGCAACCTGATTGTAGATAGGAGCTGCACACTCCAGCCCTCTCTGCTGAGGGCTGCAGACCTGTCAGGATGACCTGCCTGTTTATAGGAGCTACCCATTGTGGGTTTCCTCTCTGCTGAGGGCTGCAGGCTGCAGACTCATGGGATGACCTTCCTGCAGAGAAGAGCTACTCACTGTGGGTTTCCTCTGTGCCAACAGCTGTTTACTCATTGAGATGACCTGATTGTGGATAGGAGCTAACCATTCCAGGTCTCCTTAGAGATTTACTGTTGCTCAATAAAAGACCTTTTCACCTTGCTCACCCTCTAGTCATCCATGTATCTCATTCTTCCTGGTTGTGGGACAATAAGCTGGAACCCACCAAATGATGAGACTGAAAAAGCTGTAACACAAAAGAAGTGAAACACGTCCCCTCCTCACCATGTTGTAGGCAATGAGAAAGAAAGAATAGCTATGACACTTCAGGGATTCCAGACCTAGGAGGTCCCTGAACCAGGACAGTGACATCCTCACTGGGGCTCTGTGATTCCCCAGATGGTATCTACAAGCTTCTGGCCACCACTGTGTTTCCCAGTGCCCACAGTGGAAGCTGCTTGTTGAGGGCCTGATCCAGCTGCAGGAGAGAGCTGGCACTTTTGCCAGTGCCTGGAGCTGACTGCCCCACTGCAGGCAGAGTGCCTGGTTGTGCACAGTGACCTGATCCTGCGCTCACTCACTCACACATCTGTTACTGCTCCACACCATGCTTGCCTTTGGCAGGCATGGGATTTGGGCTGCTAGTGAAAGCCAAGAGCAGCCTGTCAGTCCAAGTGAGTGAAACAAGTACATCAGGCCCAAACAAACCTCAGGCAAAGGAGCCACCTGTCACAGAAGTGTCTGGCTGGTGAAGAAACATGCTAAAGATCCCATGACACAAATAAATGAGAACAAAATAAATTTTAAAAAGTACTTAACCTTATTGAAATTACTCTAGAGGTAATAATGAATAAAATTAGATAAGCTAGACTTCCAGATTTAGTTATATTCTACTTAATTTGAAGGAAATAATGTGTTTATGATTTCTTATGTGTAAACTGTGGTTTGGTTACTAGAAGAATTTAAAATATAATCCTGAAAATCTATCATTCTAAGAATACCTTGGTTTCATTTTTTTTCAAGAAGATAATATTCAAATTGTATTTTAGAATTCATTTCTGACTGTCAGACTGTTTACCAAGGTAGACTTTCAAACCTTATCAATAACTATGTTATATTGCTTCTAAATATTAATTTAGCATTTCCAACTATATCTACAGATGGGCAAAATCATAATGTATTACTTATAGTGAATGATTAACTGTCTAATAATACATATAAAAGAAAATTAAACCATTATAGGAGCTCAGAATTAAATTTAGAGCATTATTAATTTAACTTTATTCTTCCTGAAACAATCTCAGCAAAAAATGCCTGTCAGTGATGACCTACTCTAAATCACCTTAAACAGAAACTTTTGGCTAAAGTCCAGAAATAAGAACTTGCATTTATTGCTGTCTCTATTGTAGCCCAGGTGATAAAAAATATATTTAAAAAAAAGGTTATATTCTATTCAGAAGGTAAATCTATGGTTGCATTATATTTAAACTGTTGGAGCCAACAAATATATGAAAATAATAGTGTGTATTCAGATGGGTGGAGATTAGTTTCTCCATTGGCAATTGAACATCAACTATGTAGTTTGCTGATAGGAGGTTAAAATTAGCAGTTAAAATTAGTGGAAGAGGAATTACTTTGTTAAATAAGTTGACCTTAAAATTATTTAAATGTCATGGCATGGCTCTAGAATTAGCTTAAAGAAATGGTATTACTAAGCTTTATCAGCCACCCTCTCACACATCTCCTATCTGTTTTTCTTTCACTACTGGGTCCAACTGAAATTAAAAAAAAAGGGATCCAGAATATTACTTTAAAATTATTTAAAATTTAATAGATTTGTTTTATACTAGCAAGGGAATGTATAAAAAGGAAATCTTATCAGAGAATTCTAGAGCTTTAGCATTTAGGGATATTTGCATGATTTAACTAATGTTTTCAGAGCCTTGGATCTCTTAAACGTTTGAAAATATGGCCTTTTTCCACAGGAAAAAAATTATAGGTGAATATGAATGATCCCACTCTCTAACTCACATTATGTATTCACACACAAACATACACATACACACACTCACATTTACCTTTTTTTTTTTCATGTGTACCCCTATGATCCCAAAATCCCACTTCTAAGTATATGGTTTGGATATGGATTCCCTGGCCAAAATTTTTATTGAAATTTAGCTGATGGCAGTTGGGAGGTGTTTGGGTCATGGGGGCAGATCCCTCATGAGTAGAATTAATGCAGTATCAAGAAAGGGATAGAGTTCTCAATCTCTTGAGAATGGAGAAGCTTCCTTGAGAGCAGGTTGTTATAAAGCCAAGTCCCTTCTCATGTTTGGTCCCTCTCCACACATGCCTGTTCCTCTTCCACTTCCTCACCATGTCTTGATGCAGCATGAGACCCTCACCAGAAGCTGAGCAGATGTAGGCACCCAGTCTTGAACTTCCCAGCCTCCAGAACTGTGAGATTTCCAAGGGTCCCTCTGTGTATCACTCAGCCTCTTCATACCTTTCTCCTTGTCTTCTCTTGACTGTCTCTCCCATCATCTCAGCTCTCTTGGCTCAATGCGTGTGAAGAGACGAGTCGCCCTCATCAGAGGTGGCCTGGCTCTGGCCCAACAGGATCATTCGCTCCTGATGCAGGCTGAGGATGCATGCCTTCGCTGCCAAGCTCTGGAGCGTCTTCATTTACCTTTTGCAGAGGCAGATCCGCAAGGTAATTCAGTACCAAACTGTTCGATATGATATCCTACTCTTATCTCCTGTGTCCCGGAATCGGCTAGCCCAGGTGAAGAGGAAGATCCTGGTGCTGGATCTGGATGAGACACTTATTCACTCCCACCATGATGTGATCCTGAGGCCTACAGTCCAGCCTGGAACACTTCCTGACTTCATCCTCAAGGTGGTAATAGACAAATATCCTGTCCGGTTTTTTGTACATAAGAGGCCTCATGTGGATTTCTTTTTGGAAGTGGTGAGCCAGTGGTACGAGCTGGTGGTGTTTACAGCAAGCATGGAGATCTATGGCTCTGCTGTGGCAGATAAACTGGACAACAGCAGAAGCATCCTTAAGAGGCGATACTACAGACAGCACTGCACTTTGGAGTTGGTCAGCTACATCAAGGACCTCTCTGTGGTCCGCAGTGACCTCTCCAGCATTGTGATCCTGGATAACTCCCCAGGGGCTTACAGGAGCCATCCAGACAATGCCATCCCCATCAAATCCTGGTTCAGTGACCCCAGTGACACAGCCCTTCTCAACCTGCTCCCGATGCTGGATGCCCTCAGGTTCACCGCTGATGTCCGTTCCGTGCTGAGCTGAAACCTTCACCAACACAGCTGCTCCCCCTCCACCTGAGTTGGGGTGAGGGGGAAAGGGAGGGCAAGCCCTTGGGATGCCGTCTGATGCCCTGTCCAATGTGAGGACTGCCTGGGCAGGGTCTGCCCGTCCCACCCCTCACTGCCCTTGGGAGCCCTACACTCCACTTGGAGTCTGGATGAACACATGGCCTGGGAGCTCTGAAGCAGCCTCACTCTAACTTCGTATTCACAATCCGTGGAAACCCCAGACTGGGACACAGGTGGAGGCCTAGGAGAGCTGAAACAGTGTTTGTGGTGGAGAGGCAGGACTGGCCAGAGTGACAGACATACGGTGATCCAGGAGGCTCAAAGAGAAGCCAAGTCAGCTTTGTTGTGATTTGATTTTTTTTAAAACTCTTGTACAAAACTGATCTAATTCTTCACTCCTGCTTCAAGGGCTGGACTGTGGGTGGGATACCGGGATTTTGGGCCCCTGGTTTTTCCCTCAATTTGTCCCCTCTTTACTCTCGCATTTTTCTCTCCTTAGACTCCCTCAGACCTGTAACCAGCTTTGTCTCTTTTTATCCTTTCCTCTCTTTTAAACCATGCATTATAACTTTGAAACAAACAAAAACACTTTTTTTTTTTTAACAAAAAAAATGTTTTTTTTTTTGTAACAAAACTCTTGCACAATTATGTTGTGGACAGTTTCAGTAAGGTTCACGGACATTCCTGAATATGAAATCAGAATAAGAATCAGTGAGCTGCCCAATGAATACTAGCTAATAGGTAAAATAAAAGCCTATACTTCATACCATCACACAATTCATTCATGTAATCAAAAACCACTTGTACCCCTAATGTTATTAAAATAAAAAATAAAAAATAGAAGGACAACCAAATGACATCAACACTAATACAAATCAAATAAAGAAAAGAATAAGAATCTGTGATTCAGTCAGATGTCAGTACAATGGTCCGTCAACCAGATGAAATTTTATTAGAACATAGTCATGCTCAGTTGTTTATGTATTATTTATGTCTATTTTTGTGCTATAATGGCTGAGTTGAATAGTTGCAACAGAGACCATATGAATTACAAAGCCTCAAATATTTGCATCCGGCCATTCAAAGAAAAATGTTTGCTGACTCAGAATCTAGAATCACACTTTTCTTTACATAATAAACAAACTTATAAAGTTTAAATAGGATATTAGCTAACATAGTGAACAATGTGGCAACATGGTGAACTGAATTAATATGAAATTTTGTTTTTGCTATAAGATCCTACAATGCTGGATAATATGAAAGCAAATTATAAAACAAGGCCTTGCCTCTGCACATAGCAGGGAACTGCCAGTGAGACTCCTACACAGATTCTCAAGAGGCTGCCCCTAAGTGCAAGAGACAAGAACTCTCTATGCACTGACTATGAAGACATCCAGGATGTTAATCTCCACCTAAAGCCAAGGTTTTTCAGAGTCAGTCAGCATACTTACAGATGTCTACAGTGTTCTCCTCCTTTCAACAATAGGGGAAATCTATTCTAGCTACCTGGAAAATGTCCCTGCCCATACATTTAAGTGTGAATATCTATACTGACTGCTATACATATAACGTAGCAGAGAAAAAAAAAGTCAAAAAGAACAAACAGCAATAAAAAGAATAAAGACAGAATTAAAGACCTCAAACAAAAATTTAAACATCTTAAATTTATATTTTCAAAAAGATTCAAGAATATGTGGATTACATAAGGCCAGAACATGATGTTATACAAAATGAGAAAAATAAACAGAGATGGGGAGTGGGTGGAGAGGAGAAGGCAAAAGTGAGTTTTAAAACTAAGCATTTATAGCCAGGTGCCTACCTGTAGTCCTAAATGTCTGGGAGTCTACGGCAAGAGGATCAACTGAGCCTGGGATTTCAAGGCTGCAATGAGCTTATTATGGAACCATGGTACCACAAGCCTGGGCAGCAGGGTGAGACCCTGTCTCTAAACAACAGCAACAATATAAATAAAATTAAGCATTTATTAGTCAAAAGAAAGAAAACCTAAAGATTAGAAATTGAGGAAAGATAATCTTCTTATTTAGAGTTAAAAAAACTTTTAAAAGTTGATTTTGAGAGAAGAGAGGCATAATGTAACATTCCAATATTGTTAATATATGAATTACAGAATTTGATAAGGAGAGAAGAGGAAAAAATATGGAGAAGAGGAAATAACCACAGCTGGAGAAGAAGTAATTTATAAAATCTGAAAATAAACAAAAAATATCAAACTGGGAAGGGACTGCTGAGTCCTGTTTTGAAAAGGTGGAAAATACAAATAAATAAGACTATACCTGGATACACGACTTTCAATTTGCAGAGCACTGAGTTTCCAGAGTGAAAATACAAGCCAACTACATCAGATTTTCATCAATCATGGTAGAAAATACAAAAGATGGACAATATATTCAATTCTTTGATTATAAAATACGATTGGAATCTAGGATTCTGTATCTACAGAATTATTAGACTCGGAAAAATTTTACCTCCCAAATGATATTGATCTTCCTCATTTGCCTTCCACATTTTCTATATTTTTCTTCCTTCCTCCTTCTCTTCCCTTCCATCTTCTTTCTTTTTTCTTTCTTATTACCTTCATTTTTTGGAAAATTTTGTTTGGACATATAAATAAGGAGAATATGGGTTATAAGTAAAAATAAAGAATGGCTACACGAGCAACAGTGAAATTAATCTGGGATTCCAGGAGCATGAAATGGCAACTTGTTACATGAGCAAAAAAGCAGAACTGTAAAAAAAAAAAAAGAGGTCCAAATTAGAAAATTATTAGTAGAGTGACCTCTAAAAACCAATCTTGAATAAAAAAACATATTGAATAAAAAGGAATATATGGAATAGAATGTGGCTATGCTAAGAAGCTCACACTACTTCACTGAATAAGGACAAATCAAAGATTATTAGAAATTCTGGGAAAATAAAAGTAAGACAAACCTGATCCAAATATAAAATTACCATATCAAACCATACTTTTTAGCTCTTAGTGAAGTATGAGAAAATAGAATCCATTTCAACAAGATGTGAACTACATTCTTTAGTAGGTAAGAGATATGAAATTGAACCTACAGGGAAGGAAGTTTGTTATCAGCATACTACTAGCTATGCAAGTGGCTTGGTTAAAAGTCAGTTATTTATTAGTTTTCACCTTGTTTTGAAAACTTCAATATTCACCCACATAAATTTTATCAACCTAGACAACATAAACCTGTAACTCTCAGAAAAAAGAAGTTGAGAAAAAGGGAAATTAACATCTGAGAGTCAAATAAGGAGATATAATCTGAAACAGTACAAAAAATAGAGGTTGAAGAATTAGTAGAAATAAGTAATGATGAATATGGTTCAATGTCTCAGCTGTTATAAGTCAGGAGATAATTTCTAATGCTGATAAATTTAAAGACCCATAGAACATGCTATTTAATTATTTAGAGGTAATAAAAAGGTTTTCTGGGATGTGGCACTGGGCAGGGGTGAAACTGTTCCATTCAATAATGGTTTCTTTAGTACTGTTTTATTTTCTACTATGCATATACATGTTGCTATATTTTAAATGTCACAAAAAGAAATTAATGCATGATACATATTCATCTTAACTGTACTTTAGTTTCTGTGGTACATGTGCAGATCATGCAAGATTGTTGCATAGGTACATTCATGGAAAGGTGGTTTGCTGCCCCCATAACTCCATCACCCTATACCTGACATTTCTCCCCACATTATCCCTCCCCAGCCTCCCTCCCACTGTCCTTCCCCTAGCCCCCCTCAACAGACCTCTTTTTTGATATTTTAATTATGAGATTAAGTTATTACAAACATATCTAATATATAGGCAATAACATATTTTTAACGACACTATAACAGCTTTCCTATGTAAATTTCAAAATTTTAAAATAAAAAAATGTAATTTTTAATAGGGAACTTTAAATAGCAATTTTCTCAAATGTTCTACTTGCAATCAAATTTGAGTGGTAGTGCCCGCTTCTTCATTGCATTTTATTGGTCTCAATTTTTCAATGGGTACTTAGGAAAGCTTAGCCCACACTATAACACTATTAGATACAAATTATTTTTTCAAGATAATCAATACACACTAGAAACATTAAATGACTTCATCTAAATAAATCACTACAAGGGCAATTGATACCAATTAACCAAAAAAGATTTTCGTTTGTTTTATTTCACACAGTATTTATAGTGAATCAGCCAAGGATAATTTTCTTGACTATATATGCTGATCAACAACTCAATTACCAATGTTTAAGAACATTTTTTCACATTAAAAATTATGACCTGTTCAATATTTTAAATAAATATTCATATACTTTGTAATAAGCCAAACATGATTTTGAAATGGAAATATGGGAATAAATGTGAAGCAATTATAGAGTGAGAAGACACTATGGAAAGAAAGTATAAGCACAGCCAACTTCTCAGGCATGTGACCTCAGAATCACACAGGGCCCAACATTAAGATGGCACCATGCTTGGATTAACACTCTGCTGTTGCTGTCTTGTCGCTATTAATAATTCTTGAATATGGAGATTTTATTTTGCACTGAGCCCTGCAAATTATATAGACAGATCTATGAGTAAGCATGGATTTCAACAAATTGATATGCTTAGAAAGAAAATACAAGTACAAATTTCCAGGAGAAAATCTGAAATATTAATTTTATCCTCCAGAAATCTGAACTTGATCTCAAGGTTATTTTTTCTGTGATTTTTATTTTTTCTGTCTCTGGAGACTGAAAGCAAAATTGATATGAATAATAATTTCTACTAGAGGTTTTCAAAATTTACAATAAATTGGAACATGATGTTTTATAGATAGTTTACATTTTTGTTTAGGTTGTTTTTTTTTTTGTTCTATGTTATTTATAGAGCTTACATTTTTACATTCTTTTTAGCTCAGACATGGGTATAGGGGCTAATATATCCACATGTGAGTAATTTCTTTTCAGGTTAAAAACAGAAGTATTTTTACGTTTTATCACTGTTAAGAAGATTTTGCCACATATTTAAAATTTTAACCGAGACATGTCATTTGATATCCATGCCCATGTAGTCTTTTAA